GAGGGGAGGGGGGTGGGGGGATGGGTTAGCCAGGTGATGGGTATTAAAGAGGGCACATTCTGCGTGGAGCACTGGGTGTTATGAACAAACAATGAATCGTGGAACACTACACCAAAACAAATTATGTAATATATGGTGATTAACATAACAATAAAAAAATTTTTTAAAAAAGTGAAATTATATAGGGGCGCCTGCGTGGCTCAATTGTTAAGCGTCTGCCTTCCGCTCAGGTCGTGCTCCCGGGGTCCTGGGATCGAGCCCCACGTCGGGCTCCCTGCTCGGCGGAGAGTCTGCTTCTCCCTCTCCCGCTCCCCCTGCTTGTGTTCCTGCTCTCACTGCCTCTCTGTCAAATAAATAAATAAAAATCTTAAAAAAAGTGAAATTATATAAACTTAAATAAATCATATTAAAAAAACAGGCCGTCAGTTCTCAAAACCTATCACTCCCACCTTGTTCGGCTATATACTGGTATTGGTGCTGCCCCTGGGCTAGCCCCGTCTGTCGGCTCTGCCACATCGTGGCCCGGCCTCGTGTGTGCTCATAGGCACCCCATCGGGGGCTTGGCTGAGGCCGTGCTGGAGACATTTACGCGCAGAAACTGGCAGGTGCTGCAGACCAGGCGTGTTGTCCCCGATAGCCTGTTGGTGAACGTTTACCAGCGCCCCAGGGGCCGTCCTGTTTTGGAGGCCGGTGGTCACGCGCACGCGGGGTGGGGTGCACAGGATGGAGCAGGCCAACTTCGCAAACTCCGATCTGCCCCAGGGAGAGAGAGAAAATGGATGTAAAGTATTCAGCTAGGACCCTAATTCCTCACAAATGCTTCTGCTCTGTATGGCAGATATGCCCTTCAGCAGGTGCTTACGGCTCACCGCCACGTGGCGACCTGCCCGGGGAGAGGGCTGTCTTATTTGTGCACCGTGCACCCCCAAAGCCCAGCATGTAAGACGCAGGCTCACAAATGTGTCTTGGATGGAGGAGACACTTGCTGGCTATCTCCAAGCTTGTTCAGAGCAGTTAAGGGAGGCCTTCCGTGTTTACAAAGCTGTTAATAATGAGCACAGCAAGCCATTCCGCAGGCGGAGTCTCCGGCATGTTCTCGTGGGTACTCGGGTACCCGGCCCTTCTGTGCCCATCCAGGCTGTGGGTGAGCGACTGGCCTTCTAGGCGCCCACCCCAGCTGCGCAGGGGCTGAGGTTGCTCAGACCCCTCCTGCTCTGAGGGCCTCAGCCCCGCCGCCGCCTGCCTCGTCCTGGCCTGGCCATAGCACTCTCTGACGGCCCAGCTTCAGCTCCTTCCCACCCCAGGCTGACTGCGAGGCCCGGCCTGGCTCCTGCGGGTCTGCACTGAGCCGCAGGTGGACCGGCTTCCCCACTGGACTCGCCTGCAAGGGACAGGGGTCAGCCACTGCCCGCCACGTGGAGGGCTCCACGGGGGCCCGGAGACTGGGCGGCCCCGCCTGGTCGCCAACAGACCTGCGGCGGCTTTGGTCCCCCCCCCTCCCCCGCTTAGCAGCCAAAGACCCCGCACTTCATCACACACCAGAGTGAGGAAACGTGCCCAGAGCCTCCGGAGCAGACTTAACCTGTACCTCACTGGTGAGAGCCCGATACATGCCTGTCTTGGATCGGCCAGTGCTGGGGCAGAGGACCCACCAACCTCTTCACCCAGGGTCCTTGCTGGGGCCGGTTCCTGAACAAAGTGGGGCAAGGAAGGAGGGATGGGCTGCTGGGGCCCTGGACGGTGGAGTCAGCCAGGTCTGTGGGGGCCAGACGGTGCTGCAAGGAGCCTCGGGCTCTGCCCCAGGGGGTGCAGGTGCCCCAGTGAGCCGAGGCAGAGAGGCAGGACTTTACAGGGGGTCCCCTAGGGTGGGCGCCTTAAGCCCCCCAGGAAGGACAGATTGATTTCCTACTAAGTAACTGGGGGAGGGGGGCCGAGAGGAATGCAGGGCTGAACAGAGAGACTCTGGGGGCCTGAGAGCGGGCCAGGCAGGTCCTTGTTCAAACAGGGTTGGTGCTTGAGAAAGTTCCCTTACGTACCAGCTGCAGTGCATTTCCGTCCCCCCCTCCCTCTCTCTTTTCTTTTTAACGATCTTTCAGTCCAAGCATTTTTCCGGGTGCCAAATACTAAAATGGAAGGAACCCATTAACCCTTTCCAGTGCTGGGCATTCCTGAGCCCCAGACCCTTTTAGGTTTTTCTCGCAACCCTCGAGCGCTTTTTAAAAAACGTGTTGGGTTTGTAACAGCTGAGGTCAGGAGGTGCCCAAGGACGGAACGGTGCGGAGGGACCCCCAGCGCTACTGCAGGACCCAGGACGCGCGGCCAGCATCGTGCGACAACACCGGGCTGCTTGAAAGGATCCAACAGAGATTCAACTGCAAAAATAACTCTGTTCCGTGTGGTCGCTGTTGGACGTGGGGAATGCTCTAAAATCGAAACCAGCTGTTTCGTCCTATTGAACCGTGGGGCTGAGCTACCCGGACTCCCTGTGGGAATCGCAGAGCCGGGAGATCCCTGCTTGGAGGGGTGGGGGGGCCCATGCCCAGCACAGAGACTGCAGGCCCCGCTCGGCAGCTGTGTGCGGTAGTTTGCCGAGCGCCCCTGAGTTCTTGGGGACGAGGTCACTGACCTGGGCTTTCCAGGAACATGCTGCTGCTGAGCATCTGGCACGCATGGCCGGGGCACAGCCTCCCCTTGCCCTGCAAGAGGGGACCCTACAGGAAGTGCCTCTCGCTCACGTTGAGATTCAGACCAAGAGCTGTTTTCCAATTGCTTTTGTTTTCTTGTAAAAGGACGGCACGCACACAATAGGAGATCCAACGTTCCAGAAGGGCTCTGAAGCCCCCTCCCCTGCACCAAATTCCCAGTCTGTCTTCTCAGACCCTACAGCCCCTCACTGTACCCCGTGCATCCCTCCAGAAGTTTCTCAGGGACCGGGAGCTCGGGAGGCAGGGTTGTGAGTTTTGGGGACTGATGGCCTGGGTTTAAATCCTACCTTCCTTCATGTTTCTGGCTGTGTCACGTTGTCACCTGTGAACTCAGGGCCTCCGTTTCCTGTTCTGTGAAATGGGCACAACTTCCTAACTCAGAGGGTTAGGTGAGGAGGTGCATGGAGAGCTCCTAGCACAGGGCTCGGCATGCATGCTAACTATCCGTCTATTATGACGGCACCGAGGCACCAGGCAGCTCAAGGGGCGTCCCCCCTTTAACTCTTTCAAAACCCCCGGCCCCCCGCTGGCCACACCTGTGCATCACTTTGTGCGTCCGTGGGGTCCCAGTGCACCCCACCCCTGCCACCGGGATGGGAATCTGAGATCAGATCAGGACGCCTGTACAGTCAGCTGCCCGGGGAGGGCCCTTTCCTGGTGAGCTGGTGTGCAGACGGCCCCCCTCTTGCTGTGTTCAGGGCCTCTGCACATGGATGCTGGGGGGACACAGACATTCAGCCCACAACAGGCATCCTGTGTCTCGAGAGCTAATAAAGCAGAGGGAGAAGTGCGTGTTCAGGTGGGAAGACTCTCTACCTGAGACCCTGTCTGCCCCTGGGCAGGCGGCGTGGGCTGTCCCCGCTGGACCTAGGGACCGTGCAGCCGCTTCTGCCCACGACGGCTCAGTCCACACATACTCCCGGGGAACGCGCTCTGGGCGACGGCTGTGTCCACTTCTGAACGGGAGCCCCCAGCTCCCCGGGCACGGCCTGTCCATGGTCCCTCGCTGGGCCCGGTCTCAGCTGCCCCCAAGGAAGGAGCTGTCTCTGAGCTGTCTGCAGCCGGGGACCCTCGTTCTGCAGTGCCCCTGGGACAGCGAGGGGGACCGGCGGGTAGCGAGTCCAGGGTCCTCGTCTCTGAGAAAAGCAGCCGCAGGAGGAGTGACGTCCAGGATGGTGCTTGTGGAGGGTTTTTGACCCCTTGGAGCTCAAGGTGGCCACCACTCCGGAGTCCACTGGGAAATGCTGGCTGCCCCTTGACCGGGGAGCTCAGAGCCAGGCAGCAGCCTCTGTAGAAGATGGCCTGCAGGAGTCCGGCCCTGGCTAGGGTTCTGTCCCTGAGGACACATGGCCTGGGGCCTGGGGAGGCTCTGAGTAGAGCATGGGAAGTCCACGGGAAAGGCTCAGGCTGGGGGTGGGGGGGGCAGAGGAAAGGAGGGGGGAGGGGGGAGTGAGGAGGAGAAGGGAGGGCTGTGTGATGGTGGAGATCGGGGTGTGTGATGGTGGAGGTAAGGTGTGTGTGATGGTGGTCACGGGGGACAGTGATGGAGGAGGTCCGGCCCCAGGTCTAGTAGAAGGTGTGACTTACACTGGTTCAGGGCACTGCTAACTGGAATGACTCCGTGGGGAATCCTGACGCAGTTGGCCGTCAGTGTGGGAGAGAAGCTGCGTGTTAGAGACCGGAGCAGGAGTCCGAGGGCGAGGTGACTTCTCAGTGGCCGGAAGGTGGGGGAGGAGGAGCGTCAGGAACACCTGCTGGGGAGGCCGCCTCTGAAGGCCTGGAGCATGGAGAGAGATGGAGGAAGGCCC